TGCGATCGGAGTGGTTCACCCAGATGCCAGGTTTCGGTCCAGAGCTGTTTGGCTGAAGCGTTGCTGAGGGCGCTTCAGTGCGCAGAGCGAGGCGCGAGCTGCTCGCCGAGCCCTGCCGAGTCGGCCCCAGCCAGCCCGATCAACCATCGCCATGGATCTCATGGACGCCGTGACCAGCGTGGCAGACGATGAGGATCTCGGGTTAGACATTCACGTGCCAGCGGAGGAGCCGGAGGCCCCAGCGACGCCAGCTCACAAAAAGCGCAAGGTTACCTCGTTCACTGCATCCTGCTCTTCTGATGGCGTGACCCGCGTCGGAGTCGTCGGCCCTTTGTGGGACGACATCGACGATGTGCTGGGCGATCGGTCCGCGAAGACCTTGGCCAAGATCTGCGGGACGTGCAACGTCAAGATGGGCAGCAATGACCCTTTGGATCCCAAGCGCATACGCGCATGGGCGAAACCAAACTTCCAGGGCATAGTATGCGCGTACTGCGACGCTGGGAAAAGGAAGTTGCACCCGACCATTGGGATGGCCCAGGTGAACACGTTGCTCGCGTCTGACGCGGGCGAGAAGTCTCGCTTCTTCGATTGGGTCGGCAGCCTCATCGACCACTACAAGGCGGGCCACAAGACGGCTCGGAACCTGGCCGCCCCGCCCAAGGAGACGCTTGACCAGACAAGGGACACTGGCGTGCGAGGCAGCGTCAAGGGCACTGCCAAGCTCCTCCAGAGCTACATTGACTTGCACGGGGGCCCCGCCACCAACGGCAAAGGCCACGTCAAGGCCAGGCGGAAGTGGAAGGATGGAGTCGTCAGGCCTTCCGCAGAAAACAGGAAATCGAGCCTCTCCCACTCAGTGGCCAGGCCCCCGCCCCCCCCCGCCTCCTCCTCCACCGACCGTCTGCCTGGCTTGGCGGCAGATTTCGGCGGCGGCCCCGTAAAGACCCCCTCGAGCCCTTCAGGCCTCAGGAGCAGACCCCTCCGCCGCCGGGGATCTTTTTCTGAGTTTGATGCGGCTCGGCGGCGGGGGCAGGCGGCGGGATGGGGGGCCGTGGCCTGTCGGCGACGTCGGGGCGGCTCGATGGAGGGATGTCGTCATCATCCCAACCACGGCCAACGATGAGATGGAGTTGGAGTTCTTCGATCAGTTTGGGTTTTCGCATCGGAAGGAGGTTCGCGACGGCGAGGGCGCTGACGGTGAGAACGCCGTGCAGGGGATCTACGAGGGGTTGCAGGACAACCAGGCCAAGAACATGATCGTCGGCGAGGCCGCGGCCCCGCGGGTGCAGTTGCCTCTGGGAGCAATCTCCGTCGAAGGGAGTGCGAGCCCCAGCTTTGCGAAGGGTTCTGAGACGGCGAGCCAGGCGCCAGCTGGTGACGAAGACGAGGACGAGGAAGCGGAGGAGTGCGCCAGCGGCTTCGACGGCTTGTTCGACGTCGTGATGGAGGATGCCGCCGCTGGCCCCAGCGCCGGCAGCGCAGGGCGGCGCGCGGGCAGCGAGGGCGCTGGCGGCCAGGCCAAGCCAAAGGCCAAGGCGAAAGGGAAAGCTGCCGCAGCCAACTTCCCGCCGCCCCTCAGCGGCGGCGGCGGCAGCGGCAGGTCGACGCCATCTCGAGTCAGCGCCCGGGCTGCCGCCATCTCCTGCCCTCCAGATAGGGCCGAGACTGACGCCAACAGACAGGTGGCCAAGTTGAATGAGCTTTGTGCGGAGGTCAACCGCTCTCAGCCGGCTCACATCATATGTCTTGACAAGAAACACTTCAAGGCGGTCAAGTCGATCACGGATAGCCTGCTCGCAAAGGTCAAGATGCTGAAGAAGAGGGAGCTCCAGAATAGCATCAACATCTGCCTGAAGAAGACGGAGGTCAATAACAGGGTGATCAAGGCTTACAAATGGTGGGTCAAGAAGGGGGACAACCAGGAGTTCATGAAAGAGCATGCGGGTATCGTCAAGTTTGCAAGTGAGCACCCTTCCTTTGAGCTTGAGTTGCCGCTGTGCGTCGAGCAGGGCATCGTGGAGATGAAGTTCATCATGGGGCTCGTCGAGGATGCTGTTGCTGGGAATCATGCCAGCATGGCGGTGCGGTGGGGCTTCATTTCGACCTCGAAGTGCCGTCGGCTCTTCATGTCAGACCAGATGGAAGAGTTCCAGAAGGACAGACCAACGCAGTCTTAAAATGCACACGCAGCTGGCGTCAAGTCGGCATCGGTAAACCGTTGGCAATCGGTCACGCCCCAACTCTTGCTGAGAGGGTTCCCTCGGAGTATCCCGCCTGAGGCGCGCCTGTTTGCCAGCGGATTGCCTTTGGTTGCTCGTCTGCCGCTCGGTGCATTTTGGGAGAGGAGCGCGTCGGCGACGCCTTGCTGGCCATAATCTCTCATCAGAACGTCAAGCCGCCGAAGGACATCCCGACTCATGTGTCTTGGCTCAGGTGCTTCCTACTCTCGTCCTCGGATGCTGCCGAGTTCGATCTTGAAGAGTCTGTCAAGTCGCCTGTGCAGCTCATTCGGGCGGCTTTCAACTTGGACAGCGTGCACGCTGCAGCGAGCAAGGTCAATGACGCCGTGCTGGAGATCGGCAGGAGTTCCGACGGAATCCTCAAGACCATTTCTGCGACTGGCGCCGGTTCGAAGATGCTGAGGTTCATGACGGAGGCTGCCGGGGCGGCCAGCGACAAGCAGCAGAGCCGCTCTCGCGTCGCTTCTCTGCTGAGCTCGGGCACGTGCTCGATCGACGCGATCGCCCGCTTGGACGCCGAGCTCGCCGCTTACCAGTTCGAGGACACATCGCTTGAAGACGTAACTCGTATGTCTCCGGTCCGCCTTATCAGTTTTTCGGGGGTTCGAGGGTCCCCGGGCCGCGCTCGTTCTTTGGGGCTCGGGCTCAGGCCTCATTGGCCTCGTGATCGTGCCGTCAGGGTTCAGACTCGAGACTTGAGACATCCAGATTTCAGAAGGCATTGCAGCGACCCGACGTTTTTAGAGTAGAGTAGTAGAGTTGAGCATGAGCTTGCAATCTAGTGGGTGGACAGAAGAGGCGTCTGGGGCCGCAGAGCTCAACTCGACGCAATCACGGGCGTCCAGGATCTTCTCGAGCACGCCAGACTCCAGTGTGATTTTTTTTTCGGGGCTCCATTCTTTTGATTGCGGGGGGGGTTGGGCTTTTCTTGAGGATAGGTCGTGTCTCCCGAGGTCTTCATGCGCATGCCTCTCGGGCGTTGGCTCTGGTAGAGTCCTCTTCTGTTGCGTGATTTCTCGAACTGGTGGGTCGGGGGGTGGGCTGCTGGTCCGACAGCGGCTCAGTTGTGAGTCAGGACGACGAGAATGTGGCAAAGTTCTTTTCCCTCTTCCGCAACTGCATCAAGAAGACCTGCGACGTCTTGGACTATTTCATGGGGCTCCTGCTCCAGGGTGACAAGGAGAAAGAGCCACCAGCAGGCGCCTTGGAATCGGATGTCGTCGGCCCTCTCAAAGCCCTGCAGGACACGCGCATCATGGCGCTTCGGGGCGACGGAACCTTGGACAAACCATTGCTTGAGAGTCTGATAGTCGTCAGCCGGGCTCGGGTGGCGGAGGTCGCTCGCGGGGCCATCAGGGACGACGACGTGGCTGTCTTGGAGGACTTGGCCTCGGCCGTGGCCCACGCCAACAAGTTCTCGTCTACCTACGCAGCTTTCGCGCAGGAGCACGGTCTCAATGTGTCCTCTTGCGTCGAATTCGGGAAGATGGGGATGCAGTTGCTCGGTCGCCACGAGGGGCGGTGCGTCGGCCCGAAGATGACGGAGATCATGGCCGTGATGATGCACGACCAACAGTACTGGCAGGTTTAGTGTTCGCCTTTACTTTAAACCAGCGCAGACGCGCGCGCGCCCACGTCTCCCAGCCCCCGCCCTTTACCCTTCAGGCGTTTCGTTTCCATTGGGACCAAGTGTGTTTCTCAAGCGTTTCAAGTTCAAGCATTTGAGAAACACACTTGGTCCCGATGCGGGGAGAGGTGGCAGGGCGCGCGCGGGTCAGGTTGCTGGCGGAGTAACCGCGGGCCCCACAGGAGTTGAAGGATAACCCAGACAAAGACGACGCCGTCTTTCTCGTGGGGGGCTCTTGCAGCGGTGAGGCCGTGACTCAGCTGTCCGCCATGCAGCTGACCGTCAAGGGGAGCATGGTTTCTATTTCAGGCCTCGTGGACGAGACCTCGACGCTGTTGCGCGCTCTCGGTAAGGTCCGTTTGGCGACAGCTCTGAACGCATCCTGGCGCCTCTTCGCATTGCGTTTAGCTTTCGCGCGTCATGCCCAGCTTGTCAAGGATGCGGACCTGTCCAAGCACGCGTTCCTTGAGACCGATATCGTGCCCTCGTGGTTCTCTTTGTGCAACTGTGTATCCAAGATCACCGCGGCGCAGGGCTCCGCTGAGTTCGAGTTCAGCTTCGATGACGTGGACGCCATGATCACCTTGGGGCTACCAGGCATCGCGAAGAAGCAGATGCTCAAGGAGATCGCAGCAGCCGTCCAGTTTGCTTCGGAGCAGATCCAGAGCACGGCGGCGTCGGTTGCAGCCGCTCTGCAGCGCTCGGCGGAGAGCCTGCTTAGCAGAATTCCCAAGTACGAGGAGTACGCCGTCAGGGTCTGGAACACCGAGGAGGTTCAGAGCAAGCTTCTGGATACTTCGTGGGACTCCTTCGCCGAGTCGTGGGTCGGGCTGTCCAAGCTTGCCAACGTGGCGAAGAGCCTGGATCACGCGGTGGGCGGTGGATCCTTCGCTACCAGGTATTCTGGAGCGATCTCGGCAGCAAGCCGCAGTTTGTCTGCCGGCCGCACTTTCATCGCCGTGGTGAGCACTTCCAAGCTGATCCTCACGACGCTCCCCCGCACGCCGAAGGGCGAACGTTTGGCCCTCCTCGAGTCCCATAAGGCCAAGTCGCATGCCTCGAACTTGCCACAGAACCTCGCGGATTACATCAATGGTGAGATCGGGAAGCTCAAGAAGGCGCGCAGCTAGTCGCTCAGCAGCCCAGCAGTCAGCAGGCAGTCAGCAGCCAGCAGCTCAGCAGCAGCAGTCAGCTGCTAGCCAGCAGCTCAGAGGCTCAGTTGGCATCGACGGCCTGGCCTGCAACGACGAGGTAGGTCGGGAGGGCTGCGGCAGCCGGCGGCAGCTGGCAGCGGGGCCTGCGCGGCCTGCTTTTTGTTCTTTCTCTTCTTCTTCTTCTCCTTCAGTTCTTTATTATTCAGTCATCATATCGCCTCCCTTCTCACTCCGCCCTGCGCTCCTCGACGTCCAAGTTCGAGGGCTCGGGTGCTGCTCGCCCTGCGGCGGGCTCAGAGGCTGGCCGATTTCCGCGTGGACTCTTGGGCGGGCTTGTTCGGGCTTGGATTCTCGCGAGTTGCCCCGCTGCGGGGCGCGGTGCAACCGACGATGTGACGTGGAAACACTTCGGTAGTTGGTTGTGCGCGGGAGGGGGCCGATGGCTCCAGAGAGGAGGAGGGACAGAGGAGGGGGTGGAGGAGGAGGAGGGGGAGGAGGACGAGGAGGAGGAGGGGTGGAGGACGACAGACGACGCAGCAGGAGGTCGGGAGGATGGGGGGGGGAAAAGGGGCGGAGGAGGAGGAGGGGGAGGAGGGGCAGGAGGAACACGGCAGCCACCTCCTTACCTCTTCCTCCTCCCACTTTCGCGGGCCGTCCCAATTCCCAAGTCCTCCCAAACCCTCCTCCTCTTTCCTCGCCCTCCTCCGCCTCCCTCCTCCTCTTCCTCCCACTCTTTCCCCTTCCTCCTCCTGCTCCGCGTCCAGATGATGACCGAAGGCTTGAGGAACGAACGGATGCGGGGGCTTCGACTTATTCAAACTCCAGGTCCGCAGTCCGCAGCTTTGGACAGGGGGGCGGGGTCATTAGTTCTCCCCGAGCGGCCTGCGGGCCATGGCCCGAAGCTTGATCACGATCGAGGAGGATGAAGTGTGGCCGAAGTGGTTGCAGTCGCCGGGCGACCGCAACCACTTCGGCCACACTGAATCCTCCTCGATCGTGATCGAGCTGGATGAAGGAGGGCGATCGTGCGAGGATGAAATGTGGCGATCGTGCTGGACGAAGGAGGGCCTCCTACCTACCTCTACCTCCTCATTGATCCTTGACCCTGCCCCCCGTGGAGTCAGGGGGGCGGCTGTTGCTGCTGCTGCCGCTGCTGCTGCTGGGCTGGGAGGCCCATTCGGAGCGGTCGTCGTCTCGTCCTGAGGAGGGGCGTATCATGCAGTTCTCGATTCGCATGCTTGCGAACGTTTGCAAGAAGTGGAAGAAGCTCCAAATCGATCGGGTTATCTCTAATTATTTCCGCGCGGCCCCCCTGGGATTGAATGCGCGCGCTCCGCTTTGTATGATCTGGGGCACAGGGGGCAGCGGGGCCACTGCCGCCTCCTTGTCGCTCGCGCATTGCGCAGGCGCGGACTCTTCTGGATGTCCAAGGAGGTGGCGGCGGCCTCCTCCAGATACCAAAGGGGTAGCGCGCGCTGTCGATCAGCAGGTCCACTGGGACGTCCACGACTTGTCTGTAGTCGAACACAGGGACCCGCCAGGCTACTGGAGTGACGGTTGGATTCGCATCATTAGGGCCCCGCCGGTGCTTGGCGTCGTTCCCGATTCCCCCCGAAGCCCCTTTGACTTTCACCGACGCGGAATTAGAAGCCATGATCGGCTGGCGGGATGATGCATGAAGGCGTTTCGCGGTCCGCGAGGTCATAAGCGTCTTCGCCCGATGTCAGATGTCAGCAGTGTTGCCGCTGTCTGTCTCGGCGGGGCATCGCCGCCGCTCTTCCTCTTACCGTTGGCGCCCCGCTACCGCCACCTTCATTGGGGCGCATTTTGTATGGAGTCCGCTTGGAGCCCTGCTACTGCCGCCGCCACCTCGCCATCATGGATACGATTGCTCTTACTAGTAACACATGTTCATTTCCCCTACATACAACAGAAAACTAGTACGACTATCACATATCAACAGAATGCTACTACGAGTAACCTATCGCAGTAACCTGTTACAAATCCCCACAGTAATGTATCACGGTAAACCTCCCCCTCCCCCCCTCCCCCCTCCCCCCCCTCCCCCTTCCTTTCCTCTCCCCCTCCTCCCCCCCTCCTCCCCCCTCCTTCCCCCCCCCCCTCCCCCGCCCTCCTGCCTTTCCTTCTCCCCCCCCTTTTCTCCTCCCCTTGTTATGCCCCCCCGCTGTAACCCCATCCGCTTTCCCCCCCCCCATCCCCCGTTGGTTTGCCCCCCCCTTTCCTGACCCCCTCTCGTCCCCCCCCCCTTCCCCCCCCTGTTCGGCCCCACACAGAGGGCAACTCTTCGGGGGAGGTCGAGCGGCCTCACCGCGGCCGAGGAGTCGGCCGCCTTCAATGCGCTCGACAACGTGGAGAGGCGAGCGGACAGGAGCCTCCAGGCAAGCAACGCGGCCATCGAGGCGCACGTCGGGGCGCTGTCCGACCGGGTGGCCAAGATGGAGAGGAGCGTGCACAATTCCCAGGCGCGGCACCCCGCGGCGGACGCCGGCGCCACGCGGGCGCCGTCGACGGACGAGGACATGGGGTCCTTGCCCGCCGTGCCCGAGGAGGGCGACGACTACGGCGCCGAGGCGGAGACGGATCCCGATAGGCAGCAGGCCGCGTACGTACGCTGATTTCCTTGACCTGACCCAGAGGAACATCAACTGCGTCGGTGTGCACGCCTGGGGCATGTCCGCCGCCACGCGGCAGGGCGCCACGTGCTGCGGCAGGTGCTGCGCCCTGGTGCCGTCTGCCGTGCTCCTGCTGCTCCAAGCCATCGTGCTCCACTCCGTCAGCCTCGAGGCCCTGAACCCCACCTGCGTCCGCAACGAGGACTGCCCTTCGGGCACCTGGTGCTCGCCCAGCTGGAGCCTCGGCGGCTACGAGGCCCTGCCGGGCACGTGCGACGACTGCTTGTGGGCCACGCAGCTCCACGAGACCAGCAGTGCGACTGCTACCAGCACCGCATCTTTGAGCAGCACGACGGAGAGCAGCAGCACGACTCCGACTTCTTCAAGTCAGACCAGCAGTGCGTCGAGCACCATTTCAGAGAGCAGCACGACTGCTACCAGCACCGCAGCTTTGAGCAGCACCACGGAGAGCAGCACCACGCCAGCACCGACACCATTGCCAGCACCGACACCATTATTCCTTCCTTTGGTGGTACAAAACTCGACGGTGCAAGGCCCGACGCAAGCGCCGACATGGGCGCCGACGCCACCAGCATCGTCAGTACTGCCGATGGTGGCACAAGGCCGAAGAGGGCTCGACGTGGCCCTGGACGCGGCGCAGGTCCCGATACACTACGCGGCCCTCCCCGTGCGGCTCGGCCCGGGCGCCTACGAGGAGCTCTCCTACGCCGGTCTTTCCGCTGCCGTGGAACACTGCGCCGCGCACGCGGTGGACAGGTGCGACTTCATCTGGGACTTCAAAGACTCGCTGACCCTGGGCACGGTCATGGTCTTCGTCTTCGTGCTCCTGCTCCTGCTCTTCTCCATCGTCCAGGACCTGGACAAGGCCGGGCATACGCTAGACGTGTTTGAGTACCGCCTTCAGGGCTGCGACCCGGTCATCAGGATGTTGGTCACCGCCGTGGCCTCGATGAACTTCAACACAAGGAGATTCGTCCTCCCGGGCATTGTCGTGTACGCCTACTGTGCCCTCGTACTCGTACTGGCCGGCCCCGCGACCCCAGGGTTTGCGCAGCCCGTGCATTTTCTTTTCTGCGGGGTCTTTGTCGGCGTGATCTACCACGCCGAGAGGTTCTGCACCACGGTGTTCCTTAGCAAGGGGGCCGTAAAGCTCACCCGCGAGGCGTTCGCGGACGAGGCGGCACGGGACGCCATCGAGCGAGTCAAGGGCCCGCTGCACGCGCGGGCGCTGGCGTTTTGGGACCACCGCTTCTACGCCATGTGCCTCGGAGCGTTCTCGTTCCTCGTGGTTGTGTTCACCGAAACGTTCATGGACGCCGTGCCTCTGTTAGATGTCCCAAGAATCTTCAATGCTGGCATATTCAAGGAAGTGCCCGGAGACGCCAACAATTGCACCAACGTCATTATCATGCTCGCCGTCTCATCGACAATTGCTGTGTTGTGTTACACTTTTGTCTGGACCTGTGCTTACCTGTTGACGACCAGTTGTTGCCGTTGCAGTTTGGGTGTGATCCTCGCGCCGTTAAATTGCATTATGTGGAATGTTGCTCTTTGGATGGCACTGTGGACGGTGGCGTACGCGCCCGTGCTCAAACCCACATGATGACCGGCGCCCTCCGTCAAGCATCCAATTATATGTTTTGTAGCTCTCTCGTCTCTCTCTCTCTCTCGTATCCTCCCGTCCACCTTGGCGCCTTCACGACTGGCCAGGACAATATTCCCGGCACGTTCTGAGTATCCAGATGTCTGCGGCTAACCCCGCCACCGCGCCTTCGCTGCAATAAAACACGTGCAGGCTCGCTCTGCCCATCTCTCCCGACGGGATTTTGGCGGCCTCTTGGGGCGATGCTGGGAGGAGGGATAATAAGATAAGACGCATCAGCGGTGCAATCCAGCCAATGATGGAAAAGCACATGCAACAACTTGCAGACGATGCTTGTCCTAAAACTGTCCCGGCGCCTCGTTTATGACATCCGATTGCTGCAAGCCCACGATTGTTTAACTGGAGCGAGCTCGTCAGTCACCTTATCATTGCCCTTGGCGTGGGAGTGATGCCTTCCCTCGTGGCCCCCTTGCAGTCTGGCTTGCTATGCCGCCAGGCTTGGACGCGTCGGAAAATGCATTCATACCGTAATCCCCCGCCCGTTTTCCCCTGTTTGCGCTTCCTGGGAGGCCCTCGTCGCCACCGCTGGATTCGCTTCGAAATTTTAATCAGAACGCACCGCGGGAGAGGTCCAGGGACCAGGGGTGGTGGCGGCAGCGGCAGTGCCGAAGCGCGCCCACTGTCCAGCGAGGCATGAGGGTGCAAGCCCGACTTGTCTG